TAAACTACTGAGACACTGCATCCACTGCATCCCTGCTGAAACTTGCTAATCATGGTAGAATGTAAATTTTAAAAATGATTATCAGTTGGAATTACATTTAATTATAACCATGAATATGGCTAGCAAAGGGAAGATTTTTTTTCTTAAAATTTCCTCTTATTCAGGGCCATTTTTCTCACTATGATTTAGTGTTATGAAGACATCTTAATGAGGAATCACATTGTCCATTCCAAAAATTAGGGCTTCATTTCTGAGACTTCAGAAAGTTGGACTAAATTAGATTTAAGTCAGTGATACTATTATGAAAATATTTATTAGTTTAACCTATTTAAATACTGATGGAATTCCATCAGTACGCTGACGATACTCAGCTGTACATCTCCACCCCAGGCCATCCCAACGATGCCCTTGAAGTGATGTCCCGGTGCTTGGAGGACGTGCGGATCTGGATGGGGACTAACAGGCTTCGACTCAACACTTCCAAGACCGAGTGGCTGTGGTTTCCGGCGTCCTAATATAGCCAGCTGGCGCCATCGCTGGCTATTGGGGGCGAGTTATTGGCCCCCACGGAGAGGGCTCGCAACTTGGGTGTCCTCCTGGATGCACGGCTGTCTTTAGAAGAACATATGATGGCCGTGGCCAGGGGGGCTTTTCATCAGGTTCGCCTGATTCGCCAGTTGCGTCCCTTTCTGGATCGGGACTCCTTACGCACAGTCACTCAGGCACTCGTCATTTCCCGCCTGGACTACTGCAATGCTCTCTACATGGGGCTCCCCTTGAGGTGCACCCGGAGGCTCCAGCTGGTGCAGAATGCGGCTGCGCAGGGGATTATGGGAGCGAGAGGGCGCTCCCATGTGACACCTCTCCTGCGCGAGCTGCATTGGCTCCCGGTGGACTTCCGGGTGCGCTTCAGGGTACTGGTTACCACCTTTAAAGCGCTCCATGGCATCAGACCTGGGTATTTGCGGGACCACCTTCTGCCGCCAATAGCCTCCCACCGGCCAGTACGCTCCCACAGAGAGGGACTCCTCAGGGTGCCGTCAGCTAGGCAGTGTCGGCTAGTGACCCCCAGGGGGAGGGCCTTCTCTGTGGCAGCACCTGCCCTCTGGAACGATTTGCCCCCAAAGATATGGAGGATATCAGATCTCCGGGCTTTTCGCCGTGCCCTAAAAACTTTTTTCTTCCATCAAGTAGGGCTGGCGTGAAACCCCCTCCCCCCCCCCCGTTTTTGAGATATTAGATTTTTTTAATTGTTTAATGGGTTTTAGTTGTAAGATTCTTAATGTTTGGCCAAAGGGTATAATTCTTTAAAATTTTTAAATTTTGTATTGGATGTTTTTTTACTTGGCTGTGCACCGCCCTGAGTCCACTAGGAGAAGGGCGGTATACAAATTTAAATAAAATAAATAAATAAATAAATAAATTTTAGAGGGTTATAGAAAGAAATCACCAAAAATATGGTGTTGACTTTGGCTAGGTTCAACTTCATAATGGAGGAATTGCACTCAGCTGCTATAAATGTGTTCTCACTCATTTTCCAAATGCAAAATTTTCTTGAAACTTAAGGAAAAGCAATTTCTTGAACATTTCAATAAAAATCTTATACTCTTAAGAGAGAGAGAAACAGAGAGAGGGAGAAAAGGAGAGGAAGGGAGTGAGAGAGAGATTTATCATCATCTCAAAGCATGCCTAGAAGCATCCCTGTCAAAATTTGGATAAGACAATGGGAAGTAAAGGAACTATGAAATCCCTACAATTATTATTTATTCTGTGTAAATCCAACACTAAAATATTTGTATGCAAGAATCTTCCTCTGATCCCTTCGCAGTAATGAAGTCAAGAAAGCTATGCCCATGCACATGAGTATAGTTTTTGATTACATACTCTTTTTTTTAAGTGCAATTTTTTTGGTTCAAGTCCTATTCTACAAATCTTTGACTTACAGCTGTGGCACAGCTATTATTGTCTCTGACATACACTTTTTTAAAAAAAATTGTGATTCTTCTGCTCAAATATTTCTCACAGTTGAGAGATGGGACACATAAAGGATCTCTAAAATTTCCCCAGAAACGGGGGAAAAGAAACTTCTTACCTCAACCATCACAATCTTTCCACTATCAGGAAATAAGTTTGGCTCCATCTATACAAAGAATGTTTGTTCCTGTTGTAAATAATATGCCTCATAAAGTGATTTTTCTCATGAACCAAAATGGAATAGTTGCTTCTAAGTGTCAAACAAATTCCATTACCTTTACTAGAATAGCTTTTGGTGCATAAATGAGTCCCAAAATGTGACTTCCTGATCTGTATTCAAAGCAGAAAAAGTCTTAATATGCCATTTATGTCCTGATAAAGAAAAAAAATCTTTAGTATAGCAAATTTTTTTTCACAATGTAAATTTGGACTGAACATAGCTATTATAGTAAAAGCATGTCTGCAACTGGAGTTGTGCTAAAAATAACCACGATTGTTCTAAGTAAGAAACTGTTTCATGTCCTGCAGATTGTCTGCTAAAAATTATGATGTAGTAATAATATAAAGAAAAATCCAGGCTCCATATCAGTAACTGACATCCCAAGTGAAATATTAAGCTGTAAACCAAGGGTTAGCACCTTTGCCTGCCAAGCCAATCTGATATACAAAAAAACAGAAAGACAACTTGAGTCATGGAATCAATCATTAACCAATCTATTACCCTCCACCTAGAGACAAACAACCTACTTTCGAACAAACAATTTGGTTTCAGAAAAAAAATATCCTGTAATCTACAACTAGTACATTGCAAAAACATATGGACTACACAGCTCGATCAGGGCAAAGCAATAGACACAATTTACCTAGACTTCCGTAAAGCTTTTATTTAAGTGGTACATGACAAATTACTTCTAAAACTAAAATCCTATGGCATTTCTGGACTCCTACATAAATGGATAGCTGCCTTCCTGTCAAACAGAAAAGTGGTCAAAATAGGAAGCGCTCTATCAAATCCTGTACATGTTAATAGTGGTGTTCCCCAAGGCAGTGTTTTAGGTCCAATACTCTTCATACTTTACATAAATGACCTTTGCGATCATATTAAAAGTAACTGTGTTCTTGTCTAACAAGTGGCAACTTCAAATCTCAACCAACAAATGCTCTGTCTTGCACATTGGCAAAAAAAAAATATCAAAACATAAAATACAAATTAGATGGACATCACCTTATAGATGACCCTCACTCTGTCAAGGACATTGGAGTACTCATTTCTAAAGATCTAAGTGCCAGAGCCACTGTAACAACATTGCCAAAGAGGCATTAAGAGTTGTTAACCTAATCTTGCGTAGCTTCTTCTCTGGTAATATTGTACTACTAACTAGAGCATACAAAACATTTGCTAGACTAATTCTTGAATACAGCTCATCTGTCTGGAACCCGCACTGCATATCAGACATAAATACAATTGAGAGAGTCCAGAGATATTTTACGAGAAGTCCTCCATTCATCTACCCGCAATAAAATATCTTATGCCACCAGACTCCAAATTTTGGGCTTAGACAACTTAGAACTACACCAACTTCAGTCTGACCTAAGCATAGTACATAAAATTATCTGCCACAATGTCCTACCTGTCAATGACTACTTCAGCTTCAAAACCACAACAATACACAAGCAAATAATAGATACAAACTCAAGGTAAACCGCTCCAAACTCGATTGCAGAAAATATGGCTTCAGTAACAGAGTGGTCAATGGCTGGAATGCACTACCTGACTCTAGTTTTTTCCCCAAACCCCCAAAACTTTAACCTTAAACTGTCTACTATTGACCTCACCCCATTCCTAAGAGGTCTGTAAGGGCGTGCATAAGTGCATCAGCATGCCTACCATCGCTGTCCTAATATTCCTTTTTACTTACTCTTTTCATATATTCATTTATACTTTTATCTGTTATCTTATATATGCTTGACAAAATAAATAAATAAAATATATATATATAAATAAATAAATAAATTTCTAACTGCTATAGCTGCTATTCCCTCAAGTTTGCAATAGTTGTATTTAATCACAACACAAATATGCCCAGCAAACTTTTATCTGCTGTCTATCCATGAAATTATATTTTCTAATCTCAACCTTGTTGGGTTTTTTTTTCTTGACTGTACACTGCCCAGTATTTTTCAACTGGAGCAACTTGCAAAGGCTATAAATAAATACATAAAACGAAAGACAAAGAGGTTTCTTTTACTTGCAAAGTACTCTTGAAAATGTGGTGTTTTTCCATAATATCAACATTTAGACATGAGTTCATATCATTTTATCAGGAAAAAAACTTGCCAAAAACTTACTGAAAGTTTGGTGCTTGAGATAATGCACAAAAATGAGAGCCACCCCGACTGAAACCACCCAGTAAATTTAAGGCTTCAGATAAAAAGGGTCCTGTGATGAGAGCAAAACGGTGGTATGTAAGAAATATTCACCTTCTATGCAAAGTTGTTCTTTTCATTCTGTTATTTTAAATCCGTGTTTTACAATCTTAACGGATGTGTAGACTTCCAACTCCCAGAACTTCCGAGCATTTGAACATTTCTCTCTAAATGTGTTCCTTTGGATCTTTTGAACATCCTTTGTATCATCCCAGGGCGGGATGGGGGATTTGGAAATCACTTTCTGTCCTATGATTTACTGCTCTTCCTGCCACAATATTGAAACAAAAAAACAGAAAATAGTGCTGGGGGATTTGGAAATCGCTTTCTGTCCTATGATTTACTGCTCTTCCTGCCACAATATTGAAACAAAAAACAGAAAATAGTGCCTATCTCCTGCAGCTGACTCAGCATGACAGTAAAGGGTAAATACTATATTTAGGGAAAGCCCCGTCGATCATTGCAATATTTTCGACTCTCCACACATGGAATTTCTCAATTTAAGAAACAATATTACCGATGGAAGGAACAACCCCTTCTCTAGTAATTCCCGCCCTTCCTGTGCAATTCTGTCCTATAACCAGCCGCCCCGGTCTTTTGATCAGACAGTGCACAAGCAGCTACTGAAAAATAAGCTTGTTAATTTCAGCGGACTTTACTTCCACGGAAGCGTAAAATAGAACACCGCAATATTTTCTAAGAACAGAAAAAAACATAAGATTTAATTATCAGCTTTTTAAAAAAAAGAAAATAAAAGCAAAATAAAGCCATTCTAACGCAAGCAGAATTTAGAGGACACTCCCTAATTCCTATATATATTTAGCTTCTCATCCTTACAAGTCAAAAATTGCATTTCGCTAGAGACTTTTACAGCTGTACGGAGTGCCGTTTAAAGCATAGGCAAAGGTAAGAAAAATTAAGCTTTTTTTTTTTTTTACTTAAAGATTGCTCGGCGGCGGACTGTTGAATATTATTCTTTCAGTTAAGCAAACTTCCCAGGGACTGGAATGAAGCGGGGGTTCTTTTACTGCAGAAATTGTAAATACAATGTTATGTATCGTTCCTAGTTTTTAGACCAACTCAACCCGAAAATGATGACGTGAAATAAAATGTAGAACTAAAGATAGTAACCGATGTTTGTAAGGGGGACGTTATCTTCGTGTATGCCAGAGGTCTTCAAACTTGGCAGCTTTAAGACTTGTGGACTTCAACTCCCAGAAGAGTTCTAGGAGTTAAAGTCTTAAAGCTGCCAAGTTTGAGGACGCTTGGTGTATGCATTGTTTCCGAAATCTGGGTAAATTGCTCCAAATCAGGCAAAAATGATTTTCCTTTGGGTAAGGACACACAAACCCATTACCCAATCACAACAGGGACATTTTACGAAGCGATTTTGGGCAATGAAGGAAAAAGTTTGGGAAACACTGGTGTGTACAATATTAGATGCTTCATCTTTTCTTTAAAAAAAAAACTTGCTTCTTTTTTAAAGTATCAGCTATGACTAGGGATGTAAAACATTCAGACTTCATGTTGCAAATGTGGTGGATGATGGTGTTTTGACACAAAAATCCACTTTCCCCAGCCAGGAAGCCTAGAATTAAACACATGTTGCTGTTGTTTTGATCTAATCCCTAAAGTCGCTGGAGGTTCTGATATTTCCAATTTAGGTCAAAGCAATCATTTATGAAATCTGAAGCAATAATCCATTTATTTTCTTCATCTGCACCTTAACATACTTTTTATAATTGGTAACACAGCTTAAACTTCATAGCATATAAACTTTAAGATGGGTCAGATGGAGTGGCTGAATATTGGCAATGGAATTCTGAGTTGAAGTCCACCCATCTCAAAGCTGCCATGGTTGAGAAACGTGCTTTATAGCATGATTCAATGAGGAAAATCAAAGAGGATAATGACGCAGACTTGCCTGACTACATATTTATTTGAGTAAAGGGACTTTTTTTCCCACAGGGAATTCCAGAAACTTTCAAGTAGGGTATTCATTTTTAAAGACATTTTATTCAACTGCTATTGCGAACATTCTCATTTTAGTTTAGAGATATTTAGAGGAAGGAACTAGGAGTGTGCCCACCCTATGAGAACTGATAGGATGGATAGGTCTCTGAGATAGCCAGGTTTTGTGTCATATCAGGTTTTAAAGGTGATCACCAGCATCTTGAATTGCACTTGAGGAAAAAAAGGAAGCCAATGCAGTTTGCACAATAGAGGTGTTACATGGACAAACATCCCCCCCACCCCCCCACCCCCCCACCCATTACTGCATTCTGCATCAGTGGAAGTTTCTGAGTAGTCTTCAAGGGTAGCTCTATGTAAAGCAATACAGATGGGAGGTGGCGAAGGCATGTGTGACTTTAAGCAAGATCTCAATGAGGCTGGCTATTGTAGTCAGAGTTCTTTTGCTATGACAGTCATAAAGCATGTCACCACATGTCAAGACATGGATTTATTTTTTCACTGTGGTTGTAAAGCAAATACCATGATCGTTAAGTGAATCCATTGGTCACAGGAAAGGGGTTGCCAGAAACTGAAAGTAAATACTGATTTCTGGCAGAAATATCATAAATTGTGGTTACGTGACCATGGGGCGCGGCAAATGGCAGTAAATACAGGCCAGTTGCCAAGTATCTGAAATTCAGTCACATTTTGTGAGAAGAAGACTGACATCAGAAACTGAGTTATCCCTTTTCCAGGATGTCTCATAACACTGAATGGTTGTTAAGTGACTGGTGTTAAATAGAGAACTACCTGTACTTCCATATCCTTAGTTTGTCTTTTTAATTGAATCTCTGATTAATTTATGATGTTGGGATAGTGAGATACAGATTGCAGGCTGGAAGTCCTGGACTTGTTAATATCAGGCTGTAACATTTTACAAGTTGTAGAACTACACTATTCAACAAGATGCAGCAAGATGCAATTCAGTGGTGAGAAAAATAAGGTCCTGCACTTAGGCAGGAAAAATCAAATCCAAAGGTATAAAATTAGTGGTACCTGACTAAGAAAATTAATATCTTTGGCATGGGCCAAAAATATAGGGCACAATATAAATTTAGATGAATGGGAGTTTATTTGGAATAAAAACTATAAATTAACAAAATCGGCAGCATACAAGGAAAATCAATATAAAATGCTATATTGGTGGCATTTAGCGCCTGCAAGATTGGCGAAAATATATCCAAACTTAATCCTAAATGTAATCACCACCAAGGTACCTTCTTTCATGTGTGGTGACTATGTCCCGAAGTGAAGAGCAAAATACAACATTGGTTACATGAATTAATTAACAGTAAAATCAAATTAATCCCGGAAACATTTCTTCTGGGTGTAATAAAAACTAAATACGATAAAAAAATAAGATACTTGATTTTACATATACTTACAGCAGAGAGAATAGCTTATGCGCAATATTGGAAAGGAAATAATGTATCACCAGAGGGATTAATTATTAAAAAAATATTTAAATGTACCAAAATGAACAAATTAACTTTAGAATTAAAAAAAAGAGAGGATTCAGAATACTATGCGGTGTGGGATAAATGGTATAGATGGATTGATAACTGAAATAAAAATAGATAATGTTTAGAAGAATGTTGAAGATGTGTGTGTGTGTGTGTGTGTGTTTGTATGAAATATATATTTGAAAAAAAAATGACACTGTTCAATTGTGTATTGGAATTTTGAAAAAGAAAATTATAATAAATATATATTTTAAAGAGAGAGAGAGAGAAGGACTAAAGGTAAACAGTTGTCTTCAGCACTTGAGGGGCTACACAGAGAAGAGTGGGTCGACTTATTGCTGAAAGTACCTGAGGACAGGATAAGAAGCAATGGGTGCAAGCTGGTTAAAGAGTCCACCTAGAATTTAGGAGAAATTTACTGGAAAAATAATTAGCTTGCCTCCTGCAGCTGTGTGTGCCCCATTGCTGGAATTTTCGAGAAAATATTGGGCAGCCATTTGCCCTGGGCTAGAAGACCTCCAATATTCCTTCTAGCCCTATGATTCTATGAAAACTTTCTAGCATTTCCAAATAGCATAGACCAGTGGTTCTCAACCTTCCTAATGCCACGACCCTTTAATACAGTTCCTAATGTTGTGGTGACCCCCAACCAGGGATGGGTTCTAAATTTTTTTTACTACCGGTTCTGTGGGCGTGGCTTATTTTGTGGCGTGGTTTGGAGATCATGTGACTGGGTGGGCGTGGCTAGCTGGTAATGTGACCGGATGGCCATGGCTATGTGTATAGGGACTACTCAGAGGGCTGAAAAAAGTCATTTCTGACAGGTCCTCGCACTTTTGACTGGTCTTCACACTTATGACCATCCTCACATTTATGCCTGTGCAGCATTCTTAACAACCATGTCACTCATTTCACAACTGCTTCTCTTCAACATGGTATAAGATAGGGCAAAAAACGTAAAATGTGAGGACAGTCGTAAATTCGAGGACTGGTCAAAAGTGCAAGGACCAGTCAAAAATAACTTTTTCAGCCCTCTGAGTAGTCCCTGTGCACAAAAGGACTACCCAGAGGGCTGAAAAATGTGATTTCTGACAGGTCCTCACACTTTTGACCGGTCTTCGCAGTTATGACTGGTCATCATTTATGCCCATTGTACCATTCTTAACAACTGTGTCACTCATTTCACAACTGCTTCTCTTCACCATGGTGACAAGATAGGGCATGGTGACAAGATTGTGAGGACAGTCGTAAGTTCAAGGACTGGTCAAAAGTGCGAGGACCAGTCAAAAATAACTTTTTCAGCCCTCTGAGTAGTCCATATGCATAAAAGGATACAGCAATAGAGAGGGATGAAGGAAGGGAAGGGAGTGAAGGTAAGAAGGAGGAAGAGAGGAGGAGAAGGAGAAAGAGGAAGTAGGGAGAAGAAGAAGAGGGGGGGAAGAGAAAGTAAGTAAGAAAGAAAAGACAGAGGTGGTAGGTTTGAGGAGAAAGATTGCTGTACAATAAAAAAGATGAAAGGGAAGAAAGCCAACCCCAAACAAATATTAAGATATTAAGATAAAGAATGAATTGTTAAATTTTAAAGAATAAAAGAGAACAAATAGCAATAAATAGCAATAATTAGAAACACACATACAAACATACAACGTATTTTCTTTGAACAGAGTATTTGGCCGGTTCACAAATTTAAACAGTTGTAGGAGGTTAGCACCCACCCCTTTCCTAGAAGAATGAAATATTTTGGGAAATATTAAAAAGGCAGAATATTATATTTCCCTGGATGAGAAATGGAGAAGCATATTTTACAGACAAAGCAGCTCCCACCTTCCTGCCCCCCACCCTTTGTTAATGGGCCAGAGGCAGAAAGTCAATCCTTTGTCAAAGGACATTTGCAACACAATAGCAACAGAAACTAACACAATGGGCCCCATCAAGCCATGTGATCCTGTCCACCATTAAACCATCTTTCCAAGCAGTCTCCATGTTTCCAGTGTCTTTTTCCCCACTTGGAGCAGAACCCAGAAGGATATTTCTTCCAACACAGTATTTAGTCATTTCAATTAAATTTACAATTTCTATATTTCCTTTTTACCATATTTATTCCTCATCTATTTTTTTAAAAAAACAATATTACCCTTCATCCTCATCTCTAATCTTAATCAAATTCAATTTTTCCCTTCTATTCTATATTATACCCCTTCGCATTGTCATCTATTTTTATATCCATCCTCACATTGGTTAATTATGTAATACAGTTGTTTAATACAAATTCAACATTTTAATATAAATCAATTAGTTATATAACTATCTTTTTTGTATATTAATCAATATGAACATGAATATTCCCATTATTTACATGCAATCCAATTTCTTACAAATCAATTAATTATATTTACCAATAATAATAAACCAAATAATTTCCCCCATATATTCCTCCAAACCACAACCATTTCTGCTTTCAGCACAATATACAATTAATAGTATCTCAATTATTACAATTCCCTAGTTAAATAGAGCTTTTTTTCTTTTGTGTTTTAAAATCTTGAACCTCCTCTTGCCCTAAATTTCCCATTGTTTGCAGTTTTGCACTTACCTTTTTTGGTGAGGAAAAAGAAAAAGAAATCTCTCTGCCTCATTTTGTCACGTTGCAACAAAGACCCTTCTTTAGTTTCAATTTCACTTTTCAGCATAGCTAGGGGGAAAAAAATTTGCTCCAGGAAGCCCCGCGGCAAGAATTTAAAGTTTTTTTCCCTCTAGCCATCAGCTGGGACTCCGGAGGCAGCAATAGATTGGGAGTGGGCGGGGAAAGCGAACGGCGACCAGGCGATCCAACAGAGGCAGAGGGTGAGGGTGAGTGAAGGCGTGGGGGGGGTGAGAGAGAGCTTTGGCGACCCCTGTGAAATGGCCGTTTGACCCCCAAAGGGGTCGCGACCCCCAGGTTGAGAACCACTGGCATAGACAGTGGTGAGTTGCACTGGTGGTTGCTATCCAGTAGCAACCACCAGTGCAATCTGAAGTCCTATATGTTCTCTAAATAACATCGCACTACCCACATTTGGGAAAAGCTACTGTAATATTGTATCAGATTACTTCAAAGCCTTACAAAATATGCAAATAGCAATATATGTTTTAAGCCTAGGAAGTGACAAGGTAATGTGAGAAAAGATTTCTCTAAATTGTAACTCATCGAATGGATTCAATATTAACTAAATCATAATGCGTTTGGGTTAGGTTGGGTTGTTGAGAACCCAGACAGTTGTAATATTTCCATTGTTAAACCAGGGTTTAGCAAGATGTGTGGACTCAGTTATGATTTTGTTTCTTTCCTCATTCCTTCTCTTAGACAAAATTTCTTCTTCAGATATGTCATTTTATAATGCAACCAAATCTTTGGCAAAAATGATAGACTCACAAGGAGATTGGTTTCCGGTACCCAGCTTGATAGACCATGACAACTTTAGGCCCTTTTGCCTGCTACAAAAGAAAAGGAAGACATCATGGTGGCAAAGCTGTCCTTTTCACAAAACTGAATACCAGTTTTATCATCTGCTGTTATCAGGAAATAACACTTCAAGACTAGGTAATATTCAAGAGCCTATCTCATACATATATTTTTATTTATGAGATTATCTGTCTGTTACATTTTGAGAAAAGTACAAAAAAAAATTAAGAGTACAACATTTTTAACACTAACTTTTGTATCGTCTGTATGTATGTACTCAAAATGTGTGAACAAAGTTTTCTGTGATTTCCAGAGGTGGAAGAATAAAAAAATGAATATTCAGTGACTGATGGTAAGCTTTCAGGATCTTTGATCTCATGTTTATGAAAAGTGGAATAAATAGCAAAATTGAAAAACAGATTATCCAAAATCCATTTATGCTGTCTAAAACAAGACTCAGCAAGCATTTTTATAGGATTTATTTTCTACCGAAGCTCTGTAAGGCAAGTGAGATGATATCACAGGTGTTGTTGAGGTTGCAGGTTTTGGATTTATTTTTTCCCCACTGAGGGTTATTTAAGGACCAAAACTGATGCTTTCAGTCTTGGAGAGAGTAGCCAACAGCTAATTTTTCCACATAGAAATACCGCATATCAATTAAAGTTGATCAAAGGCACTCTTCATAAGTAACACTTGATTTTCTAGATCAGCAATAGCGAAACATTTAGGCTTGAAGTTTCAAAAATTCTGAAAATGATTAATTTGACTCTGCTAGCATATCACACACACACACATAAAAAAACCCTCTCATTTCTCTATTTCCCACTCATACACTAGACCATTCTAGTGTGCACTCAATGGCACACAGACAGCAGTGCTAGGCCTGAAGTGGAGGCCTGGTCTCGACTTTAGTCCTAGTGTTACCTCTGCCATTCAAAAGGGCTGCCTCATACTGTTTCTCAAGGTGCAAGAGCCTTAGGGAATAGCATGATTGCCCCTGCAACCCAGTGGTCTGCAGGATCTGCCCCATGTACAAAACTTCAGGTGGTGCTCTCTTTCTGTTAACAGCCACCTGCCAACTACTCTAGGCTGCTATGGTCACACCAGGCCTTCATTCTTGAAATAGCTTTGGAGAATGCTCTTCTGCAGTCTCTGCAACCTCTGAAAACTATGTGAAAGCATGTCCCATTCTCACACAATTTCCAGAAGTTCTGGATGAAAGAGCATGGCCTTCTGACGTGATTTATGGAGGGCCTGGAGGCTACACAAGGTTGTGTTCTGCCCCAGCTATGGATCCCAAAGAATGTAGCACACACAAACTCAGAACAAAACTCAGTTTACTTCAAAATGCAGTCTTTTGCAAATGCAGGCTGTCAATAAAACGTTCTTAACAACCTGCCTGAAATTCCACATATAAGATAGAGTTTTACAAGAGTTGGCAGATAGCCCAGAAGCCAGGTTTGCAAAGAAAATTCAAACTCAATGATCTGCAAACGAACGCACGAACATGCGTTGTTTCCTGCAGCTTTTTACAAGCTGTGTGCAAACTTAAATTGGCTAAGGGAGTGGCCAATTAGCCCCAAGCCTTACTCTTGAGGAGACCTCCTCCTGCCTTTTGGCAGCTCTGCGTGCTTGTGCATTGAGAAGAGGCTCCTCCACTTCATCCTCTTCACTGTGTGGCCGTAAATTGCAGGCCATTGTCTGATACGAGGACATCAGGCAACCCATGAGTTGCGAATATTTTGCGGAGGACTTTTATTACTGCGTCCGCTGTGGTGGTGGCTATTAGGATTATTTCCATCCATTTAGAATAGGCATCCACGATTGCTAAAAATGTTTGGCCATGGAAGGGCTTAGAAAAATCGATGTGGATCCTCGACCAGGGGGCTCTTGGTCGGTCCCACTCTTGGATGGGTTCTTTAGGGGGAGCAAGTCGTGATTCTTGGCAGGGTTGGCATTTGGCTACCCACTCTTGTATCTCTTGGTCCATATTGGGCCAGCACACAAAACTTCGAGCCAGGGCTTTCATCCAGACAATCCCCGGATGACTCTCATGCAGTGCATTCAGTACAGAATACCTTAAACTGGGTGGTATAATTACCTGGTCCCCCCACATTGAACAACCGCTTTGTGCGGAGATCTTGTGTTGCTGTATTGCAAATGGCTTAAATTCTGTGCCGAATGGGCCCTTTGGCCATGCCCTCCAAACCCAGTTCAAAAGTTGTTTGAATGTTGCATTTTTAGCCGAGTCCTTTGCCACAGCGGCAGAAGTTACGAGGCCAGAGGCCTGGCAGTCAATGAGGAGAACAGGAATGTCCAGGGTCGAGTCATCCAATAAGTCAGGCAGAAGGCATCTGCTGAGAGCATCGCCGTGTCCCAAGGTCCTTCTGAGCCAGTGAATCAGTTTGTAGCAGTATGCTGACAGGAATATGGCCCATTTCATAAAATGGCGTGACAATGCCGCCGGTATGGCGCGATCCCCCATCAAGAGACCCAAAAGGGGTTTGTGGTCTGTCACCAATTCAAAATCCTTCCCAAACTGCTTGACCCCGGCCACCACAGCCAGTGCTTCCCTGTCCAGCTGGCTATAGTTCCTCTCCGCACTGAAAAGTGTCCTGGAGAAATAGGCGACCGGGGCCTTGGTCCCATTAGGGAGACGGTGGCTAAGCACAGCCCCCACACCAAAGGGAGAGGTGTCACAAACTAGCACCAAAGGTAGGGTGTCATTATACTGAATTAAAAAACTCTCAGCAGAAAGGAGGTGTTTTACCACAGCAAAAGTGGCAGCTTCCTTATGTCCCCAGACTCAGAGGCTCTTCTTTGCCAATAGTTTGTGGAGCGGTTCAGCAATGGTGGCGTTATTCTTTAAAAATACACTATAGAAGTTGAGCAAGCCCAGGAAAACCTGTAATTCCATCTGATTTCGTGGAGCTGGGACTTCTTGAATTGCCCTGATCTTGCTTCGGGTAGGATGAATGCCTTCTCCATTTATCCTGTACTCAACTTTGGGAACCCCAATTTGGCATTTGCTGCCCTTTACTTGGAGCCATGTGGCCCTAAATTTTGACAGCTCCTCCTTCAGACGGAGCAGAGTTGCTGTTCATCACCGGCAGTAACTAAGACATCGTCAAAGTAAGGCACTACCCCGGGAATTTTCTGCAATAGTCTTTCCATCACACTCTGGAAAAGACCCGGGCAACGCTAACGCCAAATTGTAAACTGTGACATTTGAACACCCCTCTATGCATTACAATGGTTTGGGCCTCAGCAGTAGCACCATTTACAGGCAGCTGCTGATATGCCTGCGCAAGGTCCAACTTTGCGAAAATCCTTCCGGGGCCCAGGGAATGCAAAACGTGCTGAACTATGGGCACTGGGTATGCACTCTGCTAGAGAGCCTTGTTCAACGTGCACTTATAATCAGCACATATGTGCACAGAGCCATCACTCTTGACCGGGGTGACAATAGGGGTCTCACACTTAGCGTGGTCAACTGGCTCAAGAATGCCCTGCTGGATCAGTTTATCTAATTTTCTGTCTATCCTGGGTTTTAGGGCAAATGGAACTCTCCGGGGTTTCAACCTAATTGGTGCCACTTTGTGGTCCAGACTGAATAATATTGGGGTGCCCACATACTTGCCAAGTTCCAGATTAAACACATCTTGGAATTCCCAGATCAGGTCATCAGCCCATGAGCTGGCGATGGCGTTGATGCCGGTCACACCCAGTCTGAGGGACTTGAACCAGTCCAACCCGAGCAGGTTTGGAAGGTTTCCACTGATGACTGTTAATGTCAGATCACCCCGGAATTTGTTGAACTGGACCTTGAAGGTTCCGCAGCCGATGACAGGATCCGATTCCCTTAGTAATCACTGAGCTGCAAGTGTTGGCTCTGTAGTTGGTGTTTTTGAAGTCTTGGAACAACAGCCTTCAATGCTTGCCAGGAGATAATCGTTACTGACGAGCCGGTGTCAATTTCCATGTCGCAGGGCGACCCTTCTATCTGCACAGTGATGTGTAATTTCTTCCTGCAGGGGGTGATCGCCTGCTCTATTCTAGTCTGGCAGTTTGTTTCTGGCGTTTTTGTGTTAGCAGCTTCGCGCCTAGGCTTCCAGGTTTCCCACCTAAAAGGTCTTGAGGCCTCTACTTTTGGAATGTCTGCATCTGCACAATAACTAGCAGGCAGGTTCGCTCAGCAGACTCTTGCCAAATGTCCCTTTTTATTGCATTGGTGACATATGGCATCCTTGTAACAGCAGGATGCCCTAAGGTACTGCCCCCCAAACTGGCACATGGTTGCCTTCTACTCTATTGCTCTTTGTGTTTCTTCCTTTCCGTGTGATAGACCTCATCAGATTCCTCATCTTGGTGACGGCTCTTATGTATAGTGGCAGTTTGTTTCATTGTAGCCGGAGCTGTAGCAAGCTTCTGAAGGGACTCGGCTGCCCTGTTTGATGACTCGGTTGCCCTTGCCTCATCCAACGCGACCTGCAACGTTAGATTGGTCTTTGTCAAGAGTCTTCTCTGCAGCCGGAGGTCTTTTACACCCTAAATTATTTGGTCAATTAAAATATCATTCAAGTCTCTAAACTCACAGTGGGCAGTGGCTTTTCGTAAAGCAGCAACAAATTGATTGATAGATTCTCCGTATTGCTGCATTCGGTGCCAGAATTCGTAACGCTTCACTGTCTTTGATTGAGCAGGAGCATAATGTGTTTTTAGTGCGTTTTGTAGCATTTGCCATGGTACGGATTGTACCGTAGTTGGTTCAGACAGGGCTTCAGCGGTGTTGAATACATCGTGCCCGCAGTGGCTCAGGAACAGCGGTCTTTTCTGGTTGTCCGACAGTCCGAGAAAATCATTTGCTTCTATGAAGCACTCAAACATCGTCATGTAAGTGCCCCATTTCTTCTTCGCTGGGTTGAATGGAGCCAGTGGGTGGAACACAGACATGCTTTCCGCAATACTGAGCATTTGAATTTGGCGCAAAAGATGGCCGCTGTTTGCGTTTGCCCCCGGGCTGGATTATTTCATTGTCAGCTCTTTTTGGTCTCAGTGTTTCCTTCAGGATCCTTAAGGTAGTACTCATACCTTAAGCATGAGAAAAGTCACAGAATTACAGTCAAACTAAATCCACTTGATGACCCTAGAGAGAAAAGAGAGAGATAACTAGAACCAGGCTGTTGTCTCATCTTTGAGGTAAAGGGGCATAAGAAATGCCATTATTTACAGTACATGGTGTTAATCTCTGAATGCATTAGAGTCCAGTTAGTAGAAAAAAATACATAAGTGCCTAGAAACCCATAGTAAGCTTATTCCATAGTATTATCAATGTTACATTCCAGTTACAAAGGTCACAGTTGGATTGCCTTCCTTATTCTTCTAATGGAAGAGTTCTTGGAGTATATAATATAGTTCTGGAGTGCAAGATTCAGGAATGGTAACCACAGGTTGCACAAAAAGAAGAAATGTCTATGGAGGAATATACTGTATTTTTTTACTGTAGAAGTAAATTCTATAAGTGGCCATCCATGTAGTCCTTGACTTACAACTGTAATTGATCCCATAATTACAGTTGTAAGTCACGACAATCATAAAATGGTCCATCACATGATCTTTTTTGCAGTGTCGTTAAGTGAACCCTACAGTCATTAAATGAACCCATTGTTCACTATGGGGTGTTTTTTTCTAGAAACTAGAAGTAAATGCTAGTTTCAGGCGGGAAATGTAAATGTTGTAAATCATGTGACCAGTGCAAATGGTCATAAATACAGGTTGGTTACTGAGTGCATAAATTGCAGTCTCATGACTGAAGGAAGGGTGTATTCTAAATACTAGTTTACATCCAAAATTTTATTGGTTTATTAAAAGTAAAAATCTAAGATCACATAGTTGATTAAATCTCTAATATTAAAAAATGGTCTAGAAAAATAATGCAGTCCAAGTAATACACTCATAGAATAGAATTTCATTGTTCCAAAGAAAATGGTAGGGGATGGAGTAAACTAGCAGTCATTCTAGAAATAGTCTTGACTTGGTGACAAGCATTATAAGATGAAACATAGCCCTTGATATCTGCCATCAGAAGTTGCAAAACACTCCATTTGTCCCAACAGTTCTTTGTCAAGGTAGAGTTGCAATATTTTTTCTCTTAAGTGTAGGGAAACATGTTACTGTTTCCCTATGGTAACTGTTGTGAAACAACTATCTATTATTCACAGACAAAGATGAAACAAGTTCTAGAGCAGACCCTCACCTTTCAAAGGCACTTTTCAAGAGAAACTGAAAATATACCAACTTGCAAGTATAAGTATTTCCCATTTTCTGGAACTCTTAGTATAAACTGTAATTAATTAGATAATGCTGATTTAGATTAGAAACAGTTTGATTCAATATCAACAGAATCCTTTGCTGCCAGGATTGCCTTTCTCTCAATAAAATAGCTGTCTGCTGCTCCATTTCTAAGTATTTCTGTAGTACTTCTTCTAACATTCTGATTTTTGTCAATATTTGTTCTCTAGTTCTCAACAATTCAGAGTTATTCACCTTTGAAGTCACTGTAGATGGAACACTGAAGGGGGATATTAGTGGAATTACTGACACTGAAATAACTAGTGCTGTCAGCATTTCTTATGAAAGGTCTGTAAAGATGAAAAAGATAGATGTTCCAATCCAAGACCTTGAATCTTTGATGAAAAAAGAGTAAGTATAACATAAACAAGCAAATGAAAAAAGACTCCAGCCACATTTAACAGTGTCCTCAAGTTCTCCATTCTTCTAAAACAGTACTTTACATAAAATCTCTGATTAATTGACCTCAATTAGTTTCAATTTCAGCAGTTGCATAGCTTTTCTACAAGAGAATCTGTACCCAACCTAATCTTTCAGGTCTTCCAGTGGTGCATCTATCACTACTACACTTGAGTTTATCTACCTTATTGTTGCTGGTCCCCTTCTTCTTTCCTTCCACCCTTCCTAGCATTACAGATTTATTCACAGAACTATGTAATTGGGTCCAAAATATAATTTAAAGCCTTTAGACAGTTGTAAATCTTCAATTGCAACAAGATTTAATTCTTTCTAAGCATTAACCAAATATGGTAAAGAACGTAGCTCAGAAATGTACACAGGAAATGGAAAGGAAATCAACTGAATAGGATTACTTATTGCAACAGAACCTATATTCATTGGATTGGGGGTTTTGTTCCCAAAAGTTATAAATTGAATTGCAGTCTATTTTATTGAGGTATACATGTATTCTTTTTTAGAAAAATCAACAATGAGCATCCATTTATTAAACAATCAAAGAAGCTTCAGAGGAACTTATATGTGATCACTGCATCAGCAGAAGCTGTGGAAATGACAAAGTTTGGAGAAACTAACAAAGTGGAAAGCAGCATCTTTCATAAAGCCTACATCAAACTGAATCTGAAGGTCTAATCTGAATAGTGAATTATGAAATTGAAGGAAAGAAAATGCATTTCCTCTCACCAGGTTACTTTATCTCATACAGCTGATCCAAGATTTTATTTTGTCTTTTAGGGTTCCAGAGATAGGAAGAAAATAATCACTATCCCAAAGGGATGCATTTTGGCATTCAAAGTTAAGAAATTATTTATAGAAGAAGAAACTGTAGGTAAGGGGCTCTTTTTATCTGTGGCTTGTGCCAATGATCAGTTTCCTGAAAATGTTACTGTTCCAGCCAAGCTGAAAGTTTCAAAGACCTAGCAGTTGGCTGATGACAGGTAGAAGTGAGCTGGATAGATATTTGATCTAATAAAGTGCAGTTCTCATGTTCATCCATTTTCTCAAGAAAGGCAAATATTGGTATATTTGAATTCAACCTTCTATTCAATGCAGCACAAATAATTTCCCTTTTCAAACACAGAAGACTCGGAAGCTATTTATTTTATAAAGTTTTTTGAGTTCCACTAGTGTACATGTCTTCTCATTTTCTTGCTCTCAATTGTTAAACCATCCACTCCTTTATGTCCATGAAGACTCAATCATCCAGGCCAAAGGGTCTACAGGTTGAATCATTGACCAAACTTTGTTAACCTGAGACATTTCATTGATCATCCAAGCAACTTCATCAGTCAGAACAAAATTAGAGTCAGAGGGTCATTAGAATGTACCAACTCTTGCCACACCAATTTCAGGGGTTTCTCCCCAAATTGCATTGTAATAGGTCAGTAAAGATTCAATTATCAATATCAATTATTGAGCCATGATGGCACAGTGCTTAGAATGCAGTATTGCAGACTACTTCTACTGATTACCAGCTGCCATCAGTTCAGCAGATCAAGTCCCACCAGCTCAAAGTTTATATTCCAACGATTCTTCACCTAACTAATTTTATTTTATTTTATTTTATTTTATTTTATTTTATTATTTTATTTTATTTTATTTTATTTTATTTTATTTATTTTATTTTATTTATTTATTTATTTTATTTTATTTTATTTTATTTTATTTTATTATTTTATTTTATTTTATTTTATTTTATTTTATTTTATTTTATTTTATTTTATTTATTTTATTTTATTTTATTTTATTTATTTTATTTTATTTTATTTTATTTTATTTTATTTTATTTTATTTTATTATTTTATTTTATTTTATTTTATTTTATTTTATTTTATTTTATTGAATTTCTATACCGCCCTACTCCCGAAAGACTCAGGGCGGTGAACAGCCATGAAATAAAACACATACATATACAAAATTTAAAATCGAATAAAATGAATTAAATAAATTTGGCTGAATTGATACCCATAATTTAAAATACCCATATTTTAAAATACAGTAAAAATTTAAAATTTACACTTAAAAGGGAGAAGATTTAGGCGAGGCCAGCTTGATGAAATAAAAGAGTCTTCAGCTCGCGGCGGAAGGTGCGCAGATCCGGAATCCTCCGTATCTCTGGGGGGAGCTCATTCCAGATCATCGGTGCCCCCACAGAGAAGGCTCTCCCCCTAGGGGCCAACAGCCGACATTGTTTGGCCAACGGCACCTGGAGGAGCCCCTCTCTGTGGGAGCGTACTGGTCGGTGGGAGGCTATTGATGGTAGTAGGCGGTCCCATAAGTAACCAGGTCCTAAGCCATGGAGCGCTTTAAAGGTGGTAACCAGAACCTTGAAGCGCACCCGGAAGACCACCGGGAGCCAGTGCAGCTCGCGCAGGAGAGGTGTTACATGGGAGCTCCACGCCGCTCCCATAACCACCTGCGCGGCCGCACTCTGCACCAGTTGGAGCCGCCGGGTGCACCTCAAGGGGAGCCCCATGTAGAGAGCATTACAATAGTCCAGACGAGAGATGACGAGGGCATGAGTGACTGTGCATAACGAGTCCCGATCTAGAAAGGGACGCAACTGGCGAATCAGGCGAACCTGATGAAAAATCCTCCCAGTCACGGCCGTCAAGTGCTCTTCTAAAGACAGCCGTGAATCCAGGAGGACGCCCAAGTTACGAGCCCTTTCCGTGGGGGCCAATGATTCGCCCCCAATAGCCAGCGATGGCGCCAGCTGACTATATCGGGACGTCGGAAACCACAGCCATTCGGTCTTGGATGGGTTGAGCCTGAGCCCGTTTCTCCCCATCCAGATCCGTACGGCCTCCAGGCACTGGTACATCACTTCAAGGGCATCCTTGGGGTGGTCCAGGGTGGAGATGTACAGCTGAGTGTCGTCAGCATACAGATGGTACTTCACCCCGAAACCACGGATGATCTCGCCCAGCGGCTTTACATAAATGTTGAACAAAAGGGGCGAGAGAACCAATCCCTGCGGCACCCCACATATAAGGGGCCTCGGGGTCGATCTCTGCCCCCCTGTCAATTTTGCTCTTACTGATGGAATTGCTTAGATGAGCAATGAAACATGTCAGATTACAAAGTTTGGTCCAGTTGTCTTCATTCTTCTCTCTGCATCTACAATATACTCTGCAAACTATTGGGAAGGCTGTCTTTGCCCTCTTTCTCTCACATGTGGTAGGCTGAATTGCCTCTTATCCCTCTGGAATGCACCCCCTCCCTCCTGGGGATCCACCTCCTCAGTACATTACAGAGGTGGGTTCCAGCAGGTTCTGACCAGTTCTGGAGAACCGGTAGTGGAAATTTTGAGTAGTTTGGAGAACGGGTAGTAAAAATTCTGCTGGCATCTATTCTCTGCCTCCCAAGTCTCAGCTGATCGGGAGGAAATGGGGATTTTACAGTAACCTTCCCCTAGATTGGGGACGGAATGGAGATTTTACAGTATCCTTCCCCTGCCACGCCCACCAAGCCATGCCATGCCCACAAAGCCACACCCACGAGCCAGTAATGAAAATTTTTGAAACCCACCACTGGTACATTCCATTATATTGTCCTTGCAATTAAAGTCAATTCCATCATTTTGCTATATTTTGCCTCTGATATAAGTCTCTGGGGGTTTTTTTGGTTTTTTTTAAATTTGATTTATATGCCGCCCTTCTCCGGAGACTCAGGGCGGCTTACAATGCGCTAAGCAATAGCCTTCATCCTTTTGTATATTTATACAAAGTCAGCTTATTGCCCCCACAACTGGGTCCTAAATTTACCTACCTTAGAAAGGATGGAAGGCTGAGTCAACCTTGAGCCTGGCGAGATTTGAACCTGCAGTAATTGCAGGTTTGCTTTAGATTAGACAAATGGGATGATTTTCTTGCTTTGATGACCTTGCTTGGAAGTATATATTTTGACATACATACCATCTTAGCATTCTTTTTCATCCCTGCCAGGAGCCCCCCTCACCAGGCTACAATGAGACTGCATAGCAGGATTTGGAGGCACAAAAAAGGATCCTGGGGATAATTCATCCTTCTTTTCAAAAAATGTGTTTGGCAGAGAGATTTGAATGTAGAATTAAGGTGTTTATTTTTCTCAGTATAGGTTTTTTTGAAACCTTAAAAATTACTGATAAGTTCTTTTTCCAGAAATTTGCATACAGTATTGTTAGCTAGCATAATGTAAACAATTGAGTTTTCCTAATTTTTACTTTAGGTATTTCTTATTACTCAAATGATAAAACAGGAACTTTTGGTAAGTGTACTTCAGCCATTTTATTTTACTATTGTAATGAAAATATCATGATATACCTGAATTCTTTATTCAGTTACTGCTTCTAGAGTAGACATCATTATCTAGATCAGGGATGTCAAACTCACAGCCCATGGGCCGCGTGCGTTATGTGCTGGCCACGCCCACCCTTGTTTTAGCGAAGGGGAGGAGTGGCAATACGTCATGTGACAACAATGTGATGCCACGAGTTTGACACCCCTGATCTAGATGAAGGATCCAAAAGCCCAGAGCAGCACACCTCTTCCAAAATTATTGTCAAAGCAGCAGTCCTCTTTAGTAGGCAAGACTGAGAAATGGCTGGCTGAACATCATCAAATGAACTTGCATGGTTGAACATTAAACATTAAAACAAGAATTTATCAATTTGGTACTGATAACAATCAAAATAGGAAGTCAGAGGTTTAAAATAATACTACCTATTTACTTTCACAAGAAAAAAGTAGGCTGTTATACATCCATGCCCAGCTGCAAAACTACAGCACAAATTTTCATTGGGAGAGAAAAGGAAACTTGGTATCGTATATTAAACCTAGGCATCATATTATATGTCTTTTTTAAAAAAAAAATCAAAATAAGTCTAATCTTACCTTTACTAAGGCATATTGACCTCCAAGAAATATGTGGACAAATTACGCACTGTAAAGATCGCTTGGAGGTGGGAGATACTTCCAACATAATCTACTGGATCCCTGCATGGATTGCCTGTGACTATGTAGGACAAATGGGGCAGAAGCTAACTACCAAATTGCAAGAACACAAGTAAGCAATCAGATGAGGAGACCCAAACTCATTGTTGCCTCACATCACAATAATCAAGTACATGCATTCAATTTTGCAGCTACTAAGATTGTTGAACAAGCAGGCACAAAAACAGCCAGGGAAGTTACTGAAGCCTAGGAAATAAGGCCCCTCGTCAATCATCAGGAGCGCTGATTTGCCTCCAGTTTATCAAGTTCCTTGGAGGTGATACTTGGCAGCACAAGGAAAACTACAGCCAACAGCTTAAAAGCCAGCCATCAATTCCCCAATCTACATCTAAAAAGCTAACAGGCAACATATAAATACCACACACCCAATAGCCCAAAGCACACAAAGAAATCCCTGAGGATGGGCTCCAGCATGAGTCCAAAAGCTCAGAAGACAAAACTTCTGGCCCCAGTGACCAACTCAGACTGGATCCTGCAACATTATCCTAGGACGTGTGTATTTGTCTTAATTTGGGAAAGACATATTCCAGGTCTCTGGCTTTAGGACAAATGAGTGAAATATTGTAAATTTGTAAGATGGTATATGAACTTTTTGAAAAGCTGTGGTTGGCACATCATTGCTCTAAATCTAAAATATGGGATGACAACAGGAGTTCTTTATATGCAAAAGTACAGTAGGTAAGAAAGAAAGTACAGATTTTTTCAAAATTTTTATTGTGCTGGATGCAGTGGTGGGTTGCTACCGGTTCACCCCAGATCAGGCGAACTGGTAGCAGTGGCAGCGGGAGGCTCCACCCACCTGCCCAGACGCTTCTGCACATATGCAGATGCCTTTCGCGAGTGTGCACCGAGTGAACCGGTAGCGATGGGTTTTGAAACCCACCCTTGACTGGATGGGAAGGCCAACTAAACAGACAGGTCTGAGATTGATGTTCTTATCATATCATTCTATTTCTTCATCCCATTGATGTAATTATTTTGCATTTCAGGTACACGGCTTGTTTGTAAATGTGCAGGTAAAAGTTTTTTGTTCTCTTTCTTTTATTTCTCATATATATATATATATATATATATATATATATATATATATATATATATATATATATATATATATATATATTTCATTTCAGAGTTCTTTGCCCTTATGCAAGTATGTTTAAGATCCAAGCCTAATTAAGCAATCACAGAAAATCTAAAGAGTTTGCTAAATTCAGAATAAAAAGCCTGCAATAGATGCTTCTAAATTTTAGCAACTACTTATACAAGTTACCTAGGGAAGTACTATGAATATTACCCATTTAAAATATTTCTAGCTAATATGAAATGTTTCTATTGATTACTAGTAAATATTTGTTTTCTTTTATATTTTTTCAAAGTTGCGGACATTACGAAACCTGAGGCTATAAAAGGTACACCAATTTCTTCATTTATATTTAATTTTGTGAAAAACATATAGTGGGATTTTTTAAAAATGTATCGTTAAAAAAAATTACATTACTAGAAGTTATCAGTTTCCTGGAAATTCAACTTCACAGCAGAAATCATGACACATTTTGGTCAATGCACATGTGTAAAAATGGGGACAGTCAATATTAATATTTCAAAAGGACCCAGTCACAAATGCAAGCACCAGAGGAATTAAGAGCCTTGGGATTTTTCTCCTAAAAATTTTGTGTTTAACATGAACCAACCTGCTGCCCACTCATAGCCATATTGGCTAGGAATTAAGGAAGCTGAATATGCCAGTCAGAAGCTGAACGAAAGCTTTCTTAACTCCAGTTCTACATTCCCCCCCAAAATATTTTCATTGGCTCTCTGAAGTCAGAAATATGCTTATGATGTTCACGGGAGGAAAAAGTGCTTCCATAGTATACCAGTGTAATTAGTGGTGAAATCTAAATTTTTTTGCTACCAGTTGTATGGGCGTGGCTTGGTGGGCGTGGCTTGGTGGTCATGTGACCGGTTGGGCATGGCCAACTTGACATCACTCACGTCACTCACTGTTAGAGCCAGGAGCTGCACATTCTGAAGCACATTCTGCCCTTCTAAAGCCCCCAACGCTTTGAGTTCAGCAGCTCAATGCCCTGCGCGCAGCATCGCCCAGCCACCGGTGGGGACGGAGCAGCCGGCTCAGGGGCAGGAATGATTCCCATGGACCCCGCCACTGCTTGAGTAGGGAGAATGAGGACTCGGAGGAGAAAAACCGTGAGGTTTTGCGCCATGCGGCTAGCCCTACAGTGGCGGCTTGAATGGCCCAACTAAAGTTGTGCTTGCCAGTGAATATTGGCGCGGGGGCCTTGGCTGCAACACTGCTCCAGTCATCCAGCCCAAGCCCAAGATGGGCTGGCTGCTCCGTCCCCACCAGCGGCTAGGAGATGGTGCATGCAGGGCATTGAGTGGCTGTTGGCCGCATCGTTCTTTGCTGGTGGCCAGCCCGGTGCGGAAGTGCACAGCCTTGGCTCTGTGCTCGGGGAAGTGACATAACAGCGGCTTCCCTGCTGAGACGCTCAATGCCCCGCGCGCAGCATCGCCCAGCCGCTGGTGGGGATGGAGCAGGGCTGGCCCCACCACTGCAGGGCCAGCTGCCTGGCGCAAAAACTTAGTTTTTCTCCTATGAGTCCTCAGCATCATCCTCCCTACTCAAGCAGCGGTGGGTCTGCGGGAATCATTCCTGCCCCTGGGCTGGCTGCTCCATCTTCACCAGCGGCTGGGCAATGCTGCACGCAGGGCATTGAGTAGCTGTTGGCTGCGTGGCTCTTTACCAGTGGCCAGCCCAGTGAGGAAGTGTGGTGTTTTGTTCGCCATGGTGGTGCTTCAGGAGGGCAGGTGGACATCTGCAGCTAACAACTATAATCAATATGTCCACCTGCCCTCCCGAAGCACCACCGCAGCTGTTCGCTTTCGTTTCATGGCAGGAGAAAGAAGAAAGCAAATGGCGGCAGCGCAGCAGTGCTCCAGGAGGGCAGGCGGACGTCTGCAGCCAGGCAGGGAGAGAGGGTGGTGAGAGCAGCGGCGGCAAGAGCGGCGGCGGTGGCCCCTTCCAAGCACAGTGCATGGAGGCGGTAGGCAAGGAGGCCCCAGTGTGCCTGTTGAAAGGGTGACTGGGTGGGCAGGGCCACCAGAGATGATTGCTGTCGGTTTGGTGAACCAATGGCAATCATCTCTACTGGTTCAGCCGAACCGGTCTGAACTGGCAACATTTCACCCAAGTGTGATTAAAATTAAGTATTTTGCATTTTTCCCCTTATTAGAATCGGAAAAGAAGATTCTTTCCCCCAATATCTAGAGCTTGATTGAAAGTCTATAACTTCATTTGAAGTGGGGATAAAGTCTTTTAACAATAGCTTAGGCCAGTGATGGCTAACCTTTTTGCCATCGCATGCCAGGAGGGGGGGGGCGGGGGAGGTTTGCACGCGCACGTGCCTACTCGCATGCGTGCGCAACCCCTTCCCCCCCCCTGCTCCTGGCACATGATGGCCTGGTAGGCCCGTTTTTCTTTCTTACCTGGTTCCAGATCCTCTCTGTGTATGTGGGAAGGGCGAAAACAGCCTTTCCCACTCCCTTGGAGGCCCTACGGAGGCTGAAAGGGCCCATTTCCCCACTCCCGGTGGGACAGGAAGTGATGTTTTTTCCTGTCCCCAGCCTCCAGAACCTCTCTAGGAGTCTCTAGGAGTCTGTAGGAGCCTCTCTAGGAGTCTCTGGAGGCTGGGGACAGGAAAAAACGTCACTTCCTGTCCCAGCTGGAGTGGGGAAATGGGCCCTTTCAGCCTCCGTAGGGCCTCTAAGGGAGTGGGAAAGGCTGTTTTCGCCCTTCCCACATACACAGAGAGGATCTGGAGCCAGGTAAGAAAAAAAAACGGGCCTTCCCCACCCCGCCCCCAGGCCCTCCAGAGGCAGGAAACAGCCTGTTTCCCTACTTCTGGTGGGCCCAGAAGGTCCGAAAATCAGCTGGCCGGCGTGCGCATGCGCCCCAGAGCTGAGCTGGCATGCCCACTAATATGGCTCCACGTGCCACCTGTGGCATGCGTGCCATAGGTTCGCCATCACGGGCTTAGGCCTATCTGTTTTGTTTATTATGGGCCTCACAAGATTATTCAATGTATAGAATAAAATAGTCAAAAAAATGTATATCCATTTTCCCCTATGGAGTCTTCGGTTCCTCAATAGAGATGTTGCCTGTTTGGAGGATGAGCAGAAATCAAGAAAGAGTCATACTACATGAGCAGAAATCGTATAATGTTGAACGAATCGTATAATGTTCACCATAATTAAGGAGATATTTTGGATAATATTGTCATAGGTTCTTGTAAGAATATCCAATTTGGTGGGCTCAAGACCCAAAAGATCCAACAACACAGGTCCCTAGACAAAACACACAACCGCTTGCATTCTCATGTACTATTATTCACTACTCACTCTTCTGCACAGTTACTGCTACTCTATTATTGCTACTCCAAGTCTCCAACTACTACTCCTTGTAAGTACTGCTAGAGAAAAATGTTCCTTTTTAGGCTGCTTTATTTCTATACACAAACATACACCTCCTTCTCTCTTCTCTCTCTCAGACATATCTTCAGCTGTTTCATATTACAGCCTTCAGCCTTGCCATCCTGATGCTGGGGAGGGGGTTTAAAGAAAAGGGAAGAAAGCTTCACAGATGCTGGTAATTTTCTGGGAAGCCTGCAATAATAATGATAATAATAATAGTAGGAATAGTAATAACAATAGTTGTTGTTGCGGGAGGCTGCAATTTCTTGGTGTGTTTTTCTTTTTTTTTTAATTGAAAAGTTTTTTAAAAATTTTACACATATTTTCCCCTCCCTCCTCCCCCCTCCTCCCCCCTCCTGCCCCAACCCCCCCCCCGACTTCCCAGAACCAAAACAAGGTATAGCATTTAACAAACATAAAAAAAACATAGGCTAACTAACTATAAATTTATCTCCCTCTTGCACTTTAACTCCCCTTGTTCAAATGTAACTAATTAAACCAATTATTGCTTGAAAGTAATCAATCCATCTTCGTTCTTGTCCGTTCTTCAATAAGTAAGTCTTCTTTCTTCCAGTATTACATATCAGCCCAATTACAATTAACCATCACATCTCCAACCCTTACATATATTAACACATTAACAAAATATTTTAACCAATCTCAAATAAAATATATTGTAAAAATCTTATTTTTACTTTTTACCCCATAAACTTATATTAATTCTTCCTGGAAACATTCCTTACTTAATAGCTTTGCATAAACTTATTCATCTTATTCTCTATAAATCCACTATATATAATCAAATACTATCTTCACTATTTAATATCTATAAAAAATATTGTAAAAACCTTCCCTCAACCCTTGCACCACTTATATTTTCCTTATAACTCACAAGTTTATATTTATTCTTCAACAAAACATTCTTCATATAACATTAATGTAATTTAAAACAAAATATAAAAGTTTAAATAATATCCTTCTTCTAACCCATAAACTTATATTAAGTGATCTACACTGTCCATAACTTTTACATCCACAATATTTTTCTTTTAACCCATCAGCTTATATAAATTCTTCAACAAAGCATTCCTTGAAATATACTTCAAGACAAAAGTGAAAGTTTGGTCAGTAGCCTATAACAATTCAAACATAACATTACTTAATATACCTTAATATAACTTTTCAGAACAAATCATGTTGCTGTGTTTCTTGATGTTGTTGTTATCTCTTTTGTTCATTGAACATGGGGCTCAGTCGACTGAGCATTTGGAGGTGTGTCGTAGGTACCGTTGACTGGTATTGATGGTTGACCTAGGATGCTGGCAGGAACTCATATCAACCATTGGCACTGGTCGGTGGTATTTGTGACACATTTCTGAGTGCTCAGTTGACTGAGTTTCATGTTTGATGAATAGAAGAGGTAATAATAATAATTATAATAATAATAACAACAATGGCGGCAACAACAAAAAATGACAGCAATGTCGCGGGATGCATCGAGGGGTTGCACCATCCTGCAATAACACCAGCGGAACTGCAAAAAACTGTGCTACTTGGAACACCGTACATCTTAAGAAGGTACTTGGTTGATACCTAGGACTCTGGCAGCAATCCGTATCAATCATTAGCACCAGTCAATGGTATTTGTGATGCATTTTAAAATGTTCAGTTGACTGAGTTTCATGTTTAATGAATAAATAATAATAATAATAATAATAATAATAATAATAATAATAATAATAATAATAAATGAACTGTGGATACGAACTTGCAAAGAAAGGACTGAAAATCTCACACTTGATGTACATGGATGATTTGAAGCTGTTTGGTAAAACAAAAGCTGAACTGAATTTATTAATTGAAAACACAAAAGAATTCAGCCAAGACATTGGTATGCAGTTTGGAATTGACAAATGTGCAACAATAGCAACCAAAGCAGGCAAGATCATAGAAGAGGATGGAATAGAACTAGAGAATGAAGAAATGATAAAGGCAGTAAAATCAGAAGAAGGCTACAAGTACTTGGGGATTTTAGAAGCCTCTGACTTAATGCATAATAAAGTCAAGGAATTAACTTCAGCCAAGTACATTCGACGGATTCGTAAGATATTAATGTCCAAATTAAGTGGAGGAAACATCATAAAAGCCATAAATACCTGGGCTATACCTGTGATTAGATACCTCTGCAGGAATAATTGACTGGACCCAGATGGAGTTAGACAATTTGGACAGAAAAACAAGGAAGCTTATGACAATGAATCATGCCTTGCACCCTAAAAGTGATGTTGACCGATTATATTTACCAAGAGCAGAGGGTGGTCGAGGACTCCTACAAGTAAAGCAGACTGTGGAAGAAGAAAAATGCAGCTTGAATGGTTACATCCAGAAAAGTGAAGAACCAATGATTAAGGAAGTAAATAAAGGAGGCCTTTTAAAGACAACTAAAACAAAAGCAGAATATAAGAAAGAAGTAATTGAGCAGCGAGCTGAAAATTGGAAACACAAAGCTCTGCATGGCCAATACTTGAAAAGTATTGAAGGCAAAGCTGACCAGAAACTAACTTGGAACTGGTTAAGATCAGGAGTACTGAAAAAAGAAACAGAAAGCTTTATTTTGGCAGCTCAAGAGCAAGCCCTAGCCACAAACTGTATGAAGGCAAAAATTCAACATGTTACCACCAACAGCAAATGCCGCCTCTGCAATGAAAAAGAGGAGACAGTTGACCACCTGATCAGTGGGTGCAGCAAAATTTCACAAACTGACTACCTACAACGCCATGACCGTGTTGCTAAAATCATTCACTGGAAATTGTGCCAGAAGTTTGGATTTGAGTACAGCAAAAACCACTGGGAACATCAGGTTGAGAAAGTTTTAGAGAATGAGAAACTCAAGATCTTGTGGGACTTTAGGATTCAGACTGACAGGCACTTGGTCCACAACACACCTGACATAACAATAGTTGAAAAGAAAAAAGTATGGTTCATTGACATTGCAATACCTGGTGATGCACGAATTGAAGATAAGCAGCAAGAAAAAATCACAAAGTACCGGGACTTACAAATTGAAGTTGAGCGACTGTGGAAAAAGAAATCGTGTGTTGTCCCGATTGTAATTGGAGCCCTCGGAGCAATACCTAAAGGGCTACCCCGCTATTTAGAAATTCTAAATTTGCCGGACTTGAACATTTTGACTCTACAAAAAACCACCTTACTCGGAACAGCTTACATCCTCCGACGATACCTTAACAGTTCCTAGGTCCTTGGTTAGGACTCGAGCTGCTGAGCTATTAACCAGCCTCAAAGCTGTGAATCTCACTAAAGATTAACCAATAAATAAATATTATAATAAGTTGACTGAGTTTTATGTTTAATGAATGAGATAATAATAATAATAATAATAATTAAAATAATAATAATACACTCAACATGATTCATTCAGAGACCAAATTGTAAAAAATATAGAACTTAAAAGGCTCTGCAATGATACTATATGCTGGCAATATTTATTACTGTGCTCAGTTAAAATACTGTATTTTCCGGCGTATAAGACGACTTTTTAACACATGAAAATCTTCTCAAAAGTCGGGGGTCGTCTTATACACCGGGTGTCGTTCTCCTGTAACCAGGCAGACCAGCCCGAAAGGCTCTGACGAGCCTTAAATGGCTCTGGCGATCCCAGCTCTGACGATCCCAGCTCTGACGATCCCAGCTGAGTTCCCTGCAACTCAGCTGGGATCTCCAGAAACCATGTAAAAGGCAAAAAGTTTTTTCCCTTTTACTCTGACGATCCCAGCTGAGTTCCCTGCAACTCAGCTGGGATCGCCAGAAACCATGTAAAAGGAAAAAAGTTTTTTCCCTTTTAATCTGACGATCCCAGCTCTGACAATCCCAGCTGAGTTCCCTGCAACTCAGCTGGGATCGCCAGAACCATGGCTCTGACGGTCCCAGCTCTGACGGTCGATCCCAGCTCTGACGATCCCAGCTGAGTTCCCTGCAACTCGCTGGGATCGCCAGAAACCATGTAAAAGGAAAAAAGTTTTCCCCCTCCAGCTTGCTTACCTCAGCTGCTAGTCGCAACGCTTGCCTTGCTTCCTTGCCTGAATCTATTCCATCAGCAAGCAACTTCCTGCTTGTAATCGAGCAAGCAGGGAGTTGTGGACTTCAACTCCCAGAATTCCTCAGCCAGCAAAGCAAAGCTGGCTGAGGAATTCTGGGAGTTGAAGTCTACAAGTCTTAAAGTTGCCAAGTTTGAAGATCTCTGTTCTATTGGGTAAGTTTTTTCCCCCTTTGGGAGCTTTAAAAAAAATAGTCAATTGGGGTTATAATTGGGGGGTTTTTTAGTTGTTCTTTTTTAGACCTAGCCATTTAAAGTTTAGGAAGTTTTAAATTTAGCTTTCATATAAAAATAAAATAAAATAAAATAATATTTGTGCAGCTTTCTGAGATTTAGTGTGTTTTTGTAGTGTTTCACTCTAACTACACAAATACACAAAATCTCACAAAGCTGTATGTGGAATTTTGTGTGTGTAAAGTGTGAAAGTTGGTTTTTTGGACTTTTTGTGGCTGTGTGAGGTTCCTGCTTGTTGCAGGGGCCATTTTGGGTCTAGCACAGCTGCTTTTACATTGTGGGTGAGCCAGTTGTGTTGTGTTGTGTTGTGTTGTGTGTGTGCAAAGTGTGAAAGTTGGTTTTTTGGGCTTTTTGTGGCTATGTGAGGTTCCTGCTTGTTGCAGGGGCCATTTTGGGTCTAGCACAGCTGCTTTTACATTGTGGGTGAGCCAGTTGTGTTGTGTATGTGTAGAGTGTGAAAGTTTTTTGGGGGGCTTTTTGTGGCTGTGTGAGGTTCCTGCTTGTTGCAGAGGCCATTTTGGGACTAGCACAGCTGCTTTTACATTGTAGGTGAGCCAATTGATGTTTTTTAATTTTTATTTGGTGTACATTGGAAGAGGGGTAGTCTTACATGGCGACTATAGCCCAAACCCTATATTTTAACAGGAAAAGTTGGGGGTCGTCTTATACGCCCAGCCGTCTTATACGCCGGAAAATACGGTAATATCCAAATTTTTATTTTTTAGATATTTTTTTTATCCTATCTTTTCATATACAACTTAAGGCAATGAATATATCAATTCTCCCTTTCCGTTCTTTACCCACATTTTTCTCTTCTGGGTATTAGCCAGGATAAGAACAGCAAATGCTGATTTTAACACTTTTGTCTCTGTTTGGGAAGACAATAGGAAAAACCTTCGAAGGGAAGTTGAGAAAGAATATGAACCATTTTCTTTAATGTCTTCAAATCTGCGTGGCAAATTTCTAGCTAGTTTTGTGGTACTAATGAACAAAAGTGACCTTTTGGGAGAACTGGAGCTCCAGGTAAAGAACTTTCTGTTGTTAATACTGTGGTTAATTTCCTTTGCTTCTCATAATTCTACATAACTGTAGCAGCTGTATATGAGCTGCTGACCTCTTCAAAGATTTCTCACTGAAGAAGTCAATAGCTGAACTCTCTCATTAGGCTTCCCTATTTGTCTTCCAATCAGCAACTATGTTATAATAACTGAGGTCCAAGATTTCTTTGCTGCCATTACCAAATTTATTTATTTATTTACTTACTTGCTTACAGAATTTATATGTCTTGTATAATGATCCCAGGCAGCTGACAACAACCAGTAAAAACAAGAATGAAAACAAAACCATCCTGCCTTCCATGTAACAGACCAAATAATCTATTAGCCAGACCCAGCATGAATGCTAGTCCAATGCTTGGGGGAAATCAAATTTCAGGCATCTGTGATAGGAGCCTATTCCAAAGAGTATGGTGACTAGAGAAGACATGCCTCCAAGATCCCATGAGATGACAGTATTTAAGGAAGGGGACTTGGCGCTCCCAGCCTATCTCTTTCTGGGATAGACAAATAATACCTGGGGAAAAACAGTCCTGGGTGCAATCTGGTCCTGAGCCATGTTAGCCTTTAAAAGTAATAACCAGCATCTTGAATTGTACCCAGGAATAAGAGTTACTAAAGCTCATGCAGTAGTGGTGTAAGTTTGGTGAATCATAGGACACCTAGAACTGTGTGTGGCATTGCATTCTGGAACAGTTCTATTTCTAGATGGCCTTCAAGGGCACCCCCATGTGGAATGAATTGCAGTAATGCAATTTGGAGGTGACTAAGGCATAAGAAATAATGCAAGTAGAAAATTAGGGACCACTTTGGTGGGAAGGTAGCAGTGCTCTTTGCACCTTTGGCATGGAGTCATGCCAGCCAGCGGTGATGTCTTTGGACAGTGCTGGCTCTTCGGCTTAGAAACGAAGATGAGCACCGCCCCTAGAGCCGGAAAACAACTAGCACACATGAGCGAGGGAACCTTTACCTTTAAGCCATAAGTGACCAAGGCCTCCCAGTCCAGAATTGGCTCACAAGATGAATTTTTCAAAGGCCCTATGATGAGCAAAAAAAAATAATCTTGAGGAACAGGAAGAAGAACCACAACCAAGACAACCATTAAATCAAAGATATCTGAGCCTAGTGCATAATTGTAACCTGAGTAAGCATCTCAGACAAGAGTTTTGAGTTCTCATGAAGATAAAAGGAGGGGAAGCACACTGATATATGCAAGATTAATGTCAATTCTTCAAGGTAGACTAGACCACACTAGAAAACCAAAGTCATGAATTATAGTATTATTTCTGTTACTATAATTTTATAATAAGTAGCATTCATGCATTCCTAGCCTGGTTACCTTAATTTTTTGGATTATTGGATTCTGAGACCTAAACATCTACCAGGTTTTCCAACTCTCAAATATCAGCTATACACATTACTGTTTCTCTCAAAAGAGCATTTGGGGGATGCTCAAGAGGATCTGGCAGACAGGGAGGAGGAAGTTACACTGTGGGGCTGTTGTTTCAATGAAGAAAGACACGTAGGCAGGATGATGGTTCACGGGAAGACCCCTCGGGTGGAAGGCACCTTGATCAAGGCACCTCGGTGTGAGGTACCTTGGGGAAGGCACTCTGACTCCATCCAGAAGGCTTCCTTTTATTGTCATTTTACAACTATCATGGCAAAACATTAATCAACGTTTACTGATCCTGATTGGCTACAGAAAGCTCATCAAGTCCACATGGATCCCTCGTGTTTCCCTCATGTTATTTCCTGTGACAAACAATGCTACGTGTTGGGCCCCCATGCCTTGTATATCTTGATATAGGGTCTCTGCCAGACATCCTGTTTCTACATTCCTGATAAGATTAGGATTCTGTGGTAACGTTGTTTACCCAGTGCGGTTTGCCGACAACTGAGGTCACACCATCCCCCCATGGGGCTGCCAGTTGTCAGTTACCAAAAGTCACAATATCCTTTTCGCCTAACACTAGAAAATATTTTGGAAAGAATGACTTATGTTTCCTCTGTCACAAATTTTAAAAAGTATTTTTCCCTATGGTTCTTAAGCTTTACTTTATATTTTAAAAATTCGTTTAAATTTTTTGGACAGTAGTATTCGGATTCAATTCTCACATTACAGTAACCCATCCATATACAAGTGTACCACCAAATCCATCTGTAAAATATTATTTTCCTGTCTGTTTCTCCAACTCAAACCTCTAGCTGGAACAGGTTCTTGAGGATCCTGAACAATTCAAAGTAAATATGGACAAACCAGAGTTTAAGGATCTGATGGACAACTTGCAAGATGTCAAAGGAGCAATTGTCATTGAACTTGCTGAGGCTACCCTCTATTTTCTTCAGGCTCTTGATGGTAAAAATAGTCTCTTTCAAATTACAATGGTCATTAATAATTCACTAACTTTCAGCCTAACAGCTTAAAATTGGAAGACAAACACATCTTTACAAAATTCTCTGTTTCCCTTTCTGAGGAAGACATTAAGAAGTTAGAAATACAAAATATAATTAAATAAAAGTATTTTTGTACAAATATCTGTTGTTTAAGTGACTACAAATAAGAGTTATTAACTGATCAGAGATGAGATAATCAATTATTTATTTGGCTATCACTTCCTGGACCAGTACATTAGCTAACTTTGCACGGAGGCTGACAAGCTACTACTATTATTTTCAACCAGGGGTGAAATGCTCCCGGTTCAGACCAGATTGCCCAATCCGGTAGCGATGGCAGCAGGTGGTTCGGAGAACTGGTAGCAAAAATCCCTGCGCCCCCTCCCCCCATGCCCAGCTGAGCCCCCGATCATCAGAGGCTGTTTTTTTACTTTTAAAAGTATTTTTTCTACAACCTCTTCAGCCGAAAAAATGCTTTTAAAAGTTAAAAAAAAAGCCTCTGATGATCGTGCGACTCAGCTGGGATCGTCAGAGGCTTTTCAAAGCATTTTTTTCTGCAACCTCTTCAGCCGAAGAGGTTGTAGGAAATAAAATGCCTTTAAAAGCCTCTTGTGATCCCATCTGACTTGCCTGATTGTCAGAAGCTTCTAAAAGCATTTTTTTCCTGCAACCTCTTAAGGTTGTAGAAAAAATGCTTTTAAAAGTTTAAAAAAAAAAAGTTGGCCACGACCGCCCAGTCACATTAACCTCCAAGCCACACCCACAGAACCGGTAGTAACAAATTTTAGTTTTCACCCCTGTTTTCAACCAAAACAGAAGAAAGACCTTAAAAAACAATTGCACCATGACCCAATCAGAGTTAGAGCCACCATGCAGGAATGTGGATGGGGGAGAGGGGGGAAGAGATTTCCAATATCATTGACCTTGTTTTAAATAAATCCTACATATAATCAGGGTGTTACATCCCAAACAGATTGAACATCTTCATCTGGAAATGCATAGGTATGCCAAAATCTGCTGAAGTCTATTGAAGCAACAAGGGGGTCATTGTTTAGTGACCCTAATTGGGACTTCAATTCACTAGTTAAGTGAAGCAGCTGCCAGTGAAAATCTCTACCATGCTTATAGTCTTACTTCAACTTCCTTTTGCTTTATAGACCTGCACATTGTAAATGTGAAGATTAATCAAAAAGTTACTTTTTTTATCACCATTGTAGTTGCAAATGGTTGCTAAATGAGGCATGTGCTAAACAAAGACTATCTGTACATTTCCGTAGGCCCATCATTGGATGGCCAGACACTGCTCATACATGGCATAAAGAAATCTGAAAACTTGTCCCCAAAAGGTTTCTTAATAAGTAACCTTTATTATAAATGTTAGTTGTATCTAGGATTAAATTGAACAACAAAAAATTCAAAGGATATCAGGGAATACAACTTTACACATGGGTGGAGTCCACCCATAGTGCTAATTCATAATGGCTTTACATACTATATGAACACAGGTATGGCTTATTTAATAAGCCATGATTAAAATAAACCATGGTTAAGGGCCAATAAACTTCGTTGATAACTTGATCAAAATTTATTAAATGGTTTTTCACTTTGTGAATTCACAATGGCTGAATTCTTACACAATAGTAAGCTAGAAACTGACTTAATATGATACTGATGAAACTGACCACTGAAAAGTAAATTGCAAGGAATCATAACTGTTGTGTGATTTAGTATGGTTAATCCAGTTTCATTTATTTATACTGGCTACGCATTCCAGTTTAGAATTTGCTGTAGATAATGTAAGGGTTATTAATTTCAAATTAATCTAATTTTTCAATTGGAATTAATCTCTTCCAATTGAGAATAAACAATTACTGTATTTTTCGCACTATAAGACACAACTTCCCCACCCCCAAATAAAGTGGGTGGAAATGTCTGTGCATCTTATAGAGCAAATATTGCAGCAGGGGGAGGGGGGTTGGTGTGATGGTGGCATTTGCCACCGGCGCCTGTCATTGCTGCCACCACCTGTCACCACTGCCACTGTTCGCTGTCAGGAAACGCTGGAGCCTTCACTGCCGAGCAGCTGATTGGCTGTTGGATCGGCCTTCCAGAATATCGACGATCTAGGCAGCAGGGATTGCTGCCGTTGCTGCCACTGTTCATCACTGTTGCTGCCAATTGCCACCACCACCAATCACCACCAAATAGCGGTGATGGTGAATGGTGAAACCCGCCACCTGGAATAGCTGATCAGCAGTATTCCAGAAGGCCAATCCAACCGCCATTCAGCTGCTCCGCAGCAAAGGCTCCAGTGCTCCCTGGTGGCGGCAGCAACTCAGCTCAGTTGACCGGTGGTTGGCGTAACAGAACAGAGCCCTGACAAGCCACGTGCTAGGACTGCTATAACGTGCTGAAGCTGACCAGGCTGTTTGCCATTTGCTGCAAGGACACTAGCCAGATGAATTCCGGATGGATACTTGGAGGCAGAGGCACTTTGTTTTTCTTGTTTTCCTCCTCTAAAGCTAATGTACGTCTTAGGGTCCAGTGCGTCTTAAAGTGTGAAAAATATGGTACTGCTACAGAAAGTTTGGGCAGTTATTTTTGATGTAACATTTTCTAGAACAGACCTATTTTCTCAATTTGTTTTCTATAAAATCCAGAACTGACAGAGTTCCAGATAATGCTATTGGTAAAATCTATGGAAAAAAAGATTGTATCCCAGCAACTGAACCTGGTAAGAGAACTTCTAAAGCAAAAATAATTTGCTTTAGTTAACATTCATTCTTCTCTGAGGCATTAAGATATTACACGTGTTTCCTCTAGCTCACGGGTGTCAAACTCGATTGCATCACATGATGTCACGTGATGTATCGCAAGGTTTTGTGCCTTTGCAGAACCCAGGTCTGTGTGATGTGTGGTTGGACCATGGGCCGCCAGGTTGACACCCCTGCTCTAGCTGAACTAAGAGACTATATGTACAAGGCTATATCTTCTGCTTATTTATTGTAGACTAACAGCAATGCTAAGTGAACTTTGGGTTTCTATTGTATTTCTATGCTAATAAAACATTGAGGCATACAGAACAGGTAGTCCTCAGCTTATGGCTGTAATTGGTACCAGAGTTTCTGTTATTATGTAGGGCAGTTGATAGTGGCCATAATATTGGTGAGTCACACTCAATATTATGGCCACTATTTATGATCAATTTTGTGACCCAATTTTATGACTGATTTTATCCCCACTTTTGCCATGGATGTTAAGTAAATCACTGCAGTAGTTAAGTGAATCCAGCTTCCCCCATTGACTTAGCTTCTTGGACGCAAGCAGAGAAAATGGCAAATTATGACAACATGACTCCAGAGCACTGCAAACATTGTTAAATACATGCCAGGTGTCAAGCACCTGATCTATGACTGTGGCAATGCTGGAATGTTACAAGTACAAGGACCAGTCCTAAGTCATTTTTTCCCAGTACTGTTGTAACCTTAAAGGATTGCTAAACCAATGGTTGTAAATGGACTACCTGTATATACTTCGGCTACAATAGATACAATTTATTGGTATGCAGACTGTTTCAAATCCAAACATTTTGAGATTGAAATAGATCATTTTACTGTTACCATACTGGTGTTTCATGCTTAGAATATTTTCAGGATCCTCAAAGCAGAATTGCATCGCTACCAACAAGACTGGGGCAATTACAAGGTTATAGCATTGCAAATTTGAAATTTACACATATACACTGCATTTTATATTGGCCTCAATTGATTTTCAACATGTGTATGTTACTGATCAAGTACTGAAAATTCTATTTTATATGTTTCTTGTTTCCAAAGGTTGGAAGAATCATAGAAGAATATTTCTGGAATGAAAAACAGAATTTTACTGTAGAAGTCCAGCAGTTACCTGAAGAGGAATGGGATATAACTGAAGCATTAATTGAAGAAATAAGTGGAATATCCATTCAACAAAGGGGATGCACTGTTACTAAATCTGTAAACTCTGATGCTTCTTCAGCCCTCTCTGCTCTATATGTGGCTCTATTTGCAATCGATCTTCTATCTAAGACAGGTTTTTAAGCCATACTTGTAAATCACAGTATGTTTGCAGATAGAAAAGAATCATGCACAAACGCAGCAGTCTAATATATTCAAAATGAAAGTTGTAATCTGATAGCCATATTTGAAAGGAAGTTTACCTGAGAATATCAATTTATATTAGGTATTTACTACTTGCATTCAATTTTCCATAACTGCATTCACACAAAACTCTAAATCATTTGTAGTTTGGCTTAGTGGACTGTTCAAACTTAGATGTCAGAAACCATTACAGTTATTAAAATAATCACTAAATATAAGGAGAAAAAGAAAAATTAAGGAAAATTAGATTTGCAGGTAGTCTCTGACATAATGACCATTTATTTAACAACCATTTGAAATTGAGAACTGCTGAAAAAAGTGACTTATGACCAATCCTTGCACATACATTCAGACTGGATTTGCTTAATGATCTTGTGATTCATTTAATGACTGCAGCAAAAAGATCATAAAATTGGGCAAACATATTTAACAACTACATTGCTTAGCAAATAGCCAGTTCCAATTATGGTTGGAAGTGGTGGACTACCTGTATATTATTTCAATATAAAATTAAATGTCCTTAAACTTATTATTAAATCTAAACCAAAAACATACAGCCCCATCTTCTCATTTTAGAATATAAGACATTTCAGAAATGGATAAAGAATTGCATTTTAAATCTAGTTATTACATTAGTGTAATTAGCTGTATGTTACTTCTGTCACAATCTCACAATCTATCTTTCAGGCACCTTCTCCTCAACTTATGTTTGGAAGAGAGGACTTGCACAACTGTTACTGGCAAATATAAAAGAACTATGATAAAATTAAAATAAACTGTAAAACAGCACCTATAGTATGAACCACATGACTACAGAAATCATTTCTCCCCATATTTAAACATTCCTTTAGACCCAGATCAGTATCACAGCCATTAACTAAAATTATTTTTTCTTTTAATGTTAAATTAAATAATGTTTCATTTTAAATAGTCATGTGAAAAACATTTTTCACTCTAGCATTTGTCAATAGGTCATGGAAGCATAACTATCAAGCAGCTACATTTTTATAAAAAAGCAATTCCATGGGGTGGCTGCATAACTAGATGGCTTGGAGTAGGAGATTGAAGACCCTCCAGGGTCAGCCCTGCTTTCACTGTTTCTTATTCCTTTTGTTTCATAATCCTATTATATTTAATATACTGTGGAAGAGAAACAAAATTTCATTTAAAATTATCAAACTATTTCAGACAAGCTCAAGGAAGCAGGAGACAGAACCTACACAAATAACCTACACTTGCCTTCATTACATTTTCACTTCACAGGAGCTAGGGGGAGGAGCAACTGCCTGTGAGGGGGGAGTCTGAGAGTGAGTACAGAGGAGAAAGGTAGCGCCCTGTGTGCCTAATGGCACGCGAATCATATAAACCAAAAATAGCAATAATATATTCAGGGTTAGTGCACTTGAGATTGTGATTTTATTCTATTTTAAAATGACCAGCTTAGTTCAGTGTAATACTTGTTTTGCAGCTGTCTTTCACAATACTCTTTTCAAATTTGGGTACTGTCCTCTTTGTAAACAAATTAGTAGTCTACGTGGACAGATTACCGATCTAGAATCACTAATCTGTGCTCTCCAAGCAGAAATTAGGTGCCCAATTCAGCCATTCCACTATATTGAGCTGCCACACCATCAATCCCCTCACAAAGATCCTGCAGGAGAAGGGCAGTATGGACAACCGTGGGATCTGGCAGGGTGAGAGCTGTGAACCATAAACACAAAGCTTTTGCTGTGTCCCAGCGTAACAGATATAGTGCCCTTGCTGACCTTAATAGAGACACTAAAGTGACAGGTCAAGCTAGCTGTGATACTAATAACTCAAATAAGCAGGGGATTGTGAATTTACTTCGGAAAGGGGAAAGTGTGAACCAGGTATAACACATCGGTCAACAAGAAGAGCATGGAATCCAAAAAGAGAAGTCACCTTCTGGTTGGTGATTCAGTTGTAAGGGATGTAAATTTAGGAAAAGATATGAAGGTTTTGAAAGAGGTCAGGTATCTGCCAGGTGCTACTGCCAGCAGAGACAAGAGGCATATTCTTAAGATAGTCAAGAATGCCAGTAAGGACTGTGATGTTGATGCTATCATACATCTTGGCACAAATGATCTGTCCCAAAAGGATGTACTTTCTGTGCATAATGATTTCCAGAGCTTGGGGTATAAACTTAGTAGTATAGGTTGTAGGCTTATCTTTTCAGAGGTTTTACCGTATATAAGGAACAAAAAGGGAAAGGCCAGAGTGTAGCAGAGTTTAATGTGTGGCTAAAGGAGCGGTGTAGAAGGGAAGGCTTTGGTTTTATTAGTCATGATGTCTAGAACTGGTCCAATGAAGAACTGTACAAAAGAGATGGACTGCATCCATCAAAGAAAGGGACTGGGTTACTTAGCAATAAATTCATAGATTTTCTGGATAAACATTTAAACTGAACAGTGTGGGCAGAGAATTAATTGATACAGAACATTTCTGTCCCCAGCAATCCAAAATTAATAGGGCTATCAGTGCATGTAACATAGATGTCTGTGCGAATAAGATTATCACCCCTGCTGTCAACCAAAACCAAGCATTTAATAGTGAGTGCCATACCATGTGCATTAATCAAACAGATGGCAAGAAAGTAGGGGCAGTCAGGCACAACACAAGTTATGTAGACAATAAACATAGGGTCAATCAAAATTGACTCAAATGTCTATACACCAATGTACAGATTATGAGGAATAAACAGGGTGAATTAGAAATTCAAGTAAATGAGGGCAGATATGATATTGTTGCCATTACGGAAACTTGGTGGGATGAAACCCACAAATGGAACATACAACTAGAGGGATATAAATTATTTAAAAGAAATAGACCACATAAAAGAGGAGGTGAAGTTGCACTATATATAAGAAATAACCACATTCCTACAGAAATAGAGCACAACAATGATGAAAATTATCTTGAATACATTTGGGTCAATATTAAAGGGGGGGGGGATGACATTGCCATAGGTCTATACTATAGGCCATGTCAGAATATTGCCTGCTTATGATGCACCAGAGACTAGAAGGGGTTAAGTCTTTACAGATATCACATGTGACTATATCAGCCAATGAACTCTTTTATTGGACTCTTACCCAGAAACCACTTGGACATCTTCCCTGTTTTTTCTCTCTCTCTCATCTATCTCTCAGCAACACAGCACGTGAACTTATCTCTCCTCTCAACATCTGAGTCATACAGTTAGGGTAAAAGGTGGAACAGGACACCCTGTTCATTATTGTATGCATGTATATATTTTGTAAATAATAAAACAACTTTTGAACCTGAAGCTGTATTGACCAAATAACTTCCTCATAGAACCAAATGAGCACGACCATCAATATATATCTGACAGGCCACCCAACCAAACAGAGGAAGTAGATGAACTTTTTGCTAGTCAGCTAACTAAGATATGTAGGAAGCACATCACAATAGTAATGGGGGATTTTAACTACCCTGACATCAACTGGGAGACAAACTCTGCACCAAGTGGAAGATCCAACAGGTTCCTAACAAACCTAGCAGACAACTTTATTTTCCAAAAAGTAGAGAAGGGAACAAGGGGATCAGCCATACTGGACTTAATTCTCACTAACAGAGATAAAATGATAGAAGGTGTTGAAGCTACAGGAACCAAGTGATCACGCAATATTGGAATTCAACATTATGCAAACACAAGTAGTAGAACAAAGTCAAACTAGAGTCTTGGATTTTAAGAGAGCTAATTTCAATAAATTTAGAGAGAGCTTGAGAAGGATTCCATGGATGAGAATCCTCAAGAGGAAAACAACTCAAGAAGCTTGGGAAATTTTGAAAAGTAGATTATAAAAGCCCAGTCTAGCACAATACCAATGAAGAAGAAAAATAATAGATTTCAAAAGAAACCAGCATGGCTACATTTCTCTGACAAATTGAAAGACAAAAAGACAAGTATAAAAAGTGGAAAGAGCGGCAAATAACTAAGGCAGAATATCAACAAATAGCATGAGCCTGTGAAGATGGAGTGAGGAAAGCTAAGGCTCACAATGAACAAAGGCTTGCGACAAAAGTAAAAAATAACAAAAAAAGCTTCTTCCAACATATTAAAAATAAGAAAAAAGTCAAAGAAACAATTGGCCCATTGCTGGGAGAAAGTGACAAGAAGGTGACAAGGAACAGGGAGAAAGCAGATTCATTCATTTTTTGCATCTGTCTTCATCCAAAAGGAAAAAACAGTCCAACCTATCAAAAACAGCACTACAAAAAACAGATAATTAAAAAAACAGCTTTCCTATATAATCTTTCAGTGCAATAACGTATTGTACTATTTATACTGTGATTTGAGTTTCTTGTTTGATCCACAAGTTGAATTAAACTAAATTTATTTAATCAAGGATTACTGAATAAACTCAATTGGTTGAATTGTATTTTGACTTATGATTCAAGAATCAGTTTATATATTACAATCTGCATGTAAAATTGAATTATGCATGCAGTTTCTTGCCAGAAGTTAAAATTATAAATCTTGTCAAATTCTTACAGAATTAGCTTAAGAATCAGCACTAATTTGTAAACAAAAGAAAACCAGGTCCAAATCTATGTTCCCTTTCAGGTGTGTGTGTGTTCACATATGCATGCATATGCTTACTATTCATCACCTCACCCATTAAAAAGTCTTCACAAAAAATATGTTACTCAAAATAATAATAATAAATTTAAGCTCCATAAAACTTCAATTCACAAAGAGTCCTGCACAAGCTCAGGTTCAGGTTCAGGTTCAGTGCAACAGCCAGTTGATGGAAGACCTTTCCACTGAGATAGCTAGCAGGCAATCCTTTCCAAGCTGATCTGTTCCAGAACAGCTGAGTGAGGGACATGGCAAGATGTGCACAAGAGTGCTTCCCTCCTCATGCCATAAAAGTTGAATTCATTTTCCTCCTACCCTCCAAAACAGGTTTACAATAATTAATATCTGATATGCTTTGGGCAACAGAACATCCATTAACTTCATAAAACGTTTCAATTTTAAATTGAATAATAACATTTAAATAAGTTCAGAATACATCTAGAGAAGAAAGAATGGGGGAGAGGAATGAAAGCGAGGAAACTATTTGAATGATTTTTAGTTTTTTTCTTCCTTTTTATTTTTTTTTAAATTTCCAATATCAAATTTTTAAAAAGTTTAAATGCTTACAGAATACTGTTTGCAATTATTAATTAACAGTGACTAACGAAAGAATACGCAGTGCTATAAAACTTTTGAAAGACCAATTTCAAATGCTTATGGCGGAACAAGTTACAACAAACTTACAATATGCGAAGCATAACACATTTTGTAACGCTAATAAACCGGGCAGATGGTTGGCTTACACATTGAGGAAAAAACAAAGTATACGGACTATTGATAGTATTGATATTGGAGGGAAAGAAATCTTTCAACAAAAATTAATTAAAGAAGCTTTTGTGGACTATTATACCAAACTATATGCCAAAGAGGAGGTGCAGAATGGACTTATAGAAAAATATTTAAACGATAAAAGAGTTACAAAAATTACTGATCAACAAAAGGAAAGAATGAATTATCCTATAACAGAGGAGGAGATAATAGTAGCAATTAAACAGTTAAAAATAGCCAAAGCTCCTGGCACGGATGGTTTGACCGCAGTGTATTATAAAACTTTGCAAGCTGAAATGGTGGGACAACTCAGAGATTTATTTTGCAATATTCAACAAGGGGGTAAAATACCCCCATCATGGACAACTGCTTATATATCTTTGATACCAAAAGAACAAGTCAGTCCTAAAAAACCAGAGAATTATAGACCAATATCTCTTTTGAATACAGATTATAAAATCTATGCGAAAGTATTAGCCAACAGGTTAATGCCAGTAATCCAAAAGGTGATTCATGATGATCAAGCGGGATTTATCGAGGGCAGACACATGAAGGATAATGTAAGGCAAGTAATAGATTTATTGGAATATCTTGAGAAGAATAAACAGATTCCTGCAGTGCTGGTCTTTCTGGATGCAGAGAAGGCCTTTGATAGAGTGGATTGGAATTTTCTATTAAAGACTTTAAAAAAGATGGATTTTGGGGATCAATTTATACAGGCGATTTCAGCAATTTACCAAGAGCAAAAGGCACAGATCATTATTAATGGAAGTTTGACAACAGAGTTTAAAATTGAAAAAGGAACAAGACAGGGATGTCCGTTGTCCCCACTTTTATTTATTCTAACACTAGAAGTCTTGCTAAATACAATACGGGACTCTAATATCTTGAAAGGTATAATGATTAGGCAAGAGGATTACAGAATAAAGGCATTTGCAGATGATCTGGTTGTTACCCTATCACAACCAATGGAATCAATAATCCTGATGAAGGACATTATACAAGACTATGGTAAAGTTTCAGGTTTTAGACTGAATCCAAAAAAGACTAAAATGATAGCTAAAAACATGACACAAGATCGTAAACATGAGCTTGAAAGAAGGGCAGGTTTTGAGACTGTACCTAAGGTAAAATATCTAGGAGTTCAGGTTGCAGAATCAAACATGAAATTGTTTCAAAATAACTATGAGGTGTTGTGGCGAGAGGTGCAGAAAGACATGGAGACTTGGAAAAAGCTGCAGCTGTCTCTACTTGGAAGAATAGCGGCAGTTAAGATGAACATTTTGCCAAGATTTCTTTTTTTGTTTCAAATGATTCCGGTGCTTAAAAGTGATAAACAATTGAAAGTCTGGCAAACTGGACTCAATAAGTTTGTTTGGAACGAGAAAAAGCCGAGAGTGAAATTGAAAATTATGCAAGATGTTCCAGAAAGAGGAGGTCTTAAACTTCCAAACCTACAGTTATATTATGATGCAGCAGCTTTAACTTTTAACAAGTGATTGGTTTGGAAGTAAAAAGGCTGGAATATTGAATGCAGAAAGTTTTGATCTTGAATTTGGATGGCATGCTTACTTATTTTATGATGACAAAGTAGATAAAGTATTTAAAAGTCATATACTTAGAGATTCTTTGATGAGAGTTTGGAAGAAGCACCGACTCAAATGGGATTATAAAATACCGCTATGGCTGGATCTTGGTCATACTTTGTGGAATACAAATATAATGTCACTCGGGGGGTTTTTATACAAAGAGGTTCTTTTTACAGATGCGGGCAGATGGCAGCTGAAGACATTGCAGACACTGTTGGACGAAGGGATTAATTTAACTTGGTTACAATATAATCAATTACAATTGAGATGGAAAGAGGACCAAAAAACTGGTATTATGTTGCACGAGGAAGAATTGGTTAGACATATAAGAGAGAAAGGTCCAATGCATATCAAAAGGCTTTATAATGTTTTGCTAGAAAGGGACTCAGAAACTGAATTAGTTAAAGACTGTATGATTAAGTGGGCACAAAATTTTGAAGAACCAGTGATGTTGGAAACATGGGAAAAAATTTGGGTTCAGAATGTTAAATTTACACAGTCGCAGAACCTGAGGGAAAATTTCTATAAAATATTTTATAGATGGCATTTAGATCCCAAAAAGTTGTCATGTATGTACCCTAATGTTCAGCCAAAATGTTGGAGATGTGAATGTTTGGATGCTACGTATTATCATGTTTGGTGGACCTGTAGGAAAGTTAAGGCTTTTTGGATAAAAATTTGGTGGGTCATGCAGAATGTTTTGAAGAAAAAAATTCAATTTTATCCACAACTGTTTTTATTGGGTATAGTTAAGGGTTTTACATTGGGTGAAACAAAATTGATATTGTATATGATAACAGCAGCAAGATTGTTGATAGGTAAATACTGGAAGAATGAAGCTTTGCCCACTATTGAGGAATGGACTTTGAAGATGGCCAGTTTTGCAGAGATGGCGAAGATTTCAGCATACTTAAAAGATTGTTCACAAGAGACTTATGAATGGGAATGGAAAAGGTGGATAGAATATGTTCAGAACAAATATCAAACTAGAAAGTATCAAATAGCTTTTATTTGAAAATAATGTATTAGAAATATTTTAATGTAATGAGGTAAAGAGAAAAATTATACAGGGGAGGGAGGGGTTCAAGTTTACATATAAGTGTCATATTAAGGGTTGTTTTTTTTTTGTTGTTGTTTTCTTTTTACCAGTTATGAGTATAGTATAGGGAAGTCTGGGGGGAGGGGAGGGTTAGGGAGGTTGGGAAGTTTGGGGGGGCAGGTGGGGGGGGGGAAAGGGGTGAAAATGTAATTGTAAAACTTTTGCAATAAAAACAAAAAAAAAACAAACAGTGACTAACAAATTTAAATTATAATCTGCAAGCATAT